CACGTCTAACCCATTGGGTATATGAGATATTGATGATAAATTTTATTTTATAAACCTGTTACAGGGAGACCATCTTGGTTGATAAATGGATCTTGAGGAAGAAAAGCACCATTATTGTAGACTGGAATAAACTGGCTCAGGACATTATTGATCACTAGGAGCCTTTAAGGACAGGGAATTTATTGATCAGTTAGCTACTATCAGCTTCACATTAGCGACCATGCATCGATTCTGTGTGATCGTTCAGTTTGCAAATGTAATAATTACGAAAACGGTTCACCGTTTTATTATCTGAATTTCCGCGACAATCGGATCATTAGTAGCGGGAGAGTCTATTTGTGTACGCACCGACATTATCACACCAGTAATCTCAACTCCATTCTCCCCCCTCTGATATTATTCCAACCCTTTTCCCTTACATGAACAGTCTCATCCCCCGTGACATGATGTGTACTCGTAAGGCCAGTGACCTCATGTGTTCGATGGTCCATCTGAATCCATACCGATCTAGATTTTATATCCTACTTGAGATTATACAGAGTGAGTCAGAAGTATGTTTACAAACTTCGTATGCGTGTTCCTGGATCAAAAATAAGAAAAAATGTTCCTATGAACATGGGGTCGCAAAGGTTTTGTTTTTAATATGTGTTACATGTATTATATAGTTTTATTGTGAGGGATTACTGTATATTTTACAACTTCTTTCCAATGATTTATGAAGATCCTAGAATGGCAGTTTTCTGCAGTTCCCTGATGTTGTGTTCGCTCGGGATGTTGGCCAAATATTTTTCGAGTGACTTGGAGACAGTTCCAGTTGCTCCTATAATTATTGGAACCACTTTTGCTTTTACTTTCCACATTCGTTTTATTTCAATGAGAAGTTTCTTGTATTTCAAGATCTTCTCCGTTTCCTTCTTAATTACATTTCTGTCGGTTTGTATTGCTATATCAATTAAGCGACAGTTTCATTTTTGAATTTTGTTACATTTAATAGCAATCTGCATAGATTATTACGCGGGCAGGTTGGTATGAGGTAGAAGCATTCTGATTTCAGCACTGCGAAACTGACCGATTGTTTCACAAAATAAAAAATTAACAGTGGAACCACGGTTCCGGAGAATCTGACGTAAATACGTCTCTGTATTTAAATTATATTTAAGCAATAAATACAATGAAAGGAAGGTAGCTGAATGTGATGAAGTGTAATGTCAAAATTATCTAGTCTACGACGCACTTCTTGTACAAGCGATTCACAGCTCAGCTCAGCTCAGCTCTTTCCGCAATAACGAAAGCGGATTGTTGACGGCAGTAATGTAACACAACAATGCCGAGTAAACAGATGACGTTTCCTAGGTAACAACAATGCACGCAAGCTGACCATTGTTGTCGGTCCATATTTACACATTGTTGATATGGATCTTATACGTTTTCCTAGGTAACAACAATGCCGAGTAAACACGACGTTCCATAGGTAACCATTGTTGTCGATTTGTTGATACGTATCTTACACATTTTCGTTACACGTTTTCCTTTAACTTTTTTGCCGAATGACCCTTCCGTACAGACGTATTTACGTCAAAAAAGGGAATTTAAAAAAAATATATTTTATACGCTTACAATTGGCAATGGCGTGATGAGTGGCGTTAGTTCTCTGACGAAGTCCCTGGTCGAGGATCGTCATGTTTTTTAAAGAAGGCATGTAGTGTGGACTGCCTTGATTTCTTCCGCAGAGATTAAATTAGTCCTTTGAAAGTTTAAAGCGCCAGGAATGAAGTTGCATAAGAGCAAACTCGCATATGCAAAAGTTTGCATTTCACAAACAGCTTTTATCGATTCATCGATCTCACTGGAGCAAATTCGCGTTAACGAAATTGCAGAGATAACTGTATTTACAATTTTTATTCAAAATCAGCTATGTAAGAATTACGATTTAGTATAAGAAGCGGTACGAGAAACATTGTAAAACGTTATATTTTTTTTTTTGACTTTCTAGTTTCAAAACCGGCGTTATTCTGGACCGGCGCAAATCGAGGGCTACCTGTACGGAGCTTAATACAATATTTAAGTGTTTTATTTTAGAGTTGAAGCTATATTGGCTATTGTTGGACTGTTTTTCACATTTTGCCCTTGTCATTCAATTCAATTAACACTCCATTACCTTATTACCTTCTGTGTTAACGAAATTTTTTCAAATTCATGTCATTCTCTGTCAATAAATATTGGACTCTTACTTTAATTTAATTTATGCCCGCGCGGTCTGAAGTGTGCCATTTGGGACATTGGGTTCGAATCCCTCTCAAGGCATGGATGTTTGTCCACGTTTTTCTGTGTTGTGCTTTGTGGTATTCTGTGTAGGTAGAGGCCTTGCGACAGGCCTATCACTCGTCCAAAGAGTCCTACCAACTGTCTACAGATAAGAGTCAACGAAAAGTTGGGACCCGTAGATGCTCAGGCACTGAAGAACGGGTCGTCAAAGTAAGTAATACTTTAATTTAAGGGATCACATTTTCCTTAGTTCTTGGAATTTTTAATGGGGACATCAACAATCGAGATTATTCAGTGACAAATGTGGAATATTAGGAGAGCAAATAGTGAGATTCAGGGGTCTCATCTCATCACTTTTTTAGGCTAAAATTTTGTATGCGTTTTTCACTTTCCGTGTGTGCTCTGCTTCCGTTTGTATTCATCCGCCTTGAATTTATCACACTAACAGTCCTACATTTTCAGAAGAAACTATGAAGTTCCTCATTATATAATGTATCCATTTTCCTTCTACTGTAATATTTCTAGATCCAGATATCCTCATTAACAACATGTTCTTGTCTTGTCACCACATTGCGCGTCAAACAACGCTGAAGGCTAATCTTTACTCCACTGTACTCGGATGTAGACGAGTTACAGACCATGAGATTTTGTCTTAGGTACAATCTTCTTAACCAGATGCTGTAACACATAGAGGGGCCATTAATACAACTTACCCTTTTGACGTCCATATCTATACTAAAACAAAGAACCTACACCTGCTCTATGTTTGCCATTTCTTTGTAACTACCATGCAATTTGAGTTTTTCGTTGTGTTCAGAGTCATTGCCTAGACCCATTCTCCCTCATCTTTCCCCTTGCTCAAATCTTTCATTTGAACAGTGTTCCGATAAATTTTAAGTGCGCTTTATTTTAAAATGTCATGTGTGAGACTCCCGAGGGAACGGAGTTTTTCTTCAGAACTTTTTGAACATTTTAGATATTCCAGTGCCTGCCGCGATTCACTTGGACGTCACAACTTAACCTAATCATTGAAACTGGTACGGATCGGTATAACAGCATGTCAACACTTCTGCCCAATTAATTCGGAGATGAAACGCTCATGTTCGAATCCCGCCATTTCATGTTTTTTGTACTAAGATGTGGAGATTTATTACACATTCCCCTTGTAAGTCGCCGTGATGTGATACTTAGGCAGAGACATATTGACCAATGTTTTATCCGGACCATGTGTGAGATGTTATGTATCTATATCGTACCAAAACGCGTTTCATTTACAAAATCGGTGGCTGATACTACGAAGCCAATCACCATTGGTTTTGGCCTCCAACATTGCTATAATTACATGCGTTATAAGTTATAATTGGTTTCTGACAAGTTCGCTAGAGAACAGGAAACAAGGAAACATCTCGGATTGAACAATGGCCCCCATCATTGTAAGTCGACACAGAACATTGCACTTTACGGGTGAAAGTTATTGACGTACTTAATGGTGTCTACAATTGGCTCTAACTAAATCAGGGTAACAGGAGTTGACGCATTGTCTATCTATCTAGTAATCTATCTATCTATCTTCTATCTATCTATCTATCTATAATACTAAAATACGTGATTCCCCGTCGTCGTCAAGAAATGACGTCATCAAACAGCGTTAGCCATAGCCGAGTCACATTTAAATGTTCATTCCTCAGGAATGGTAAGAGTAAGGGTATTGTAACACATATGTAAAATGATCAGTAAATAAAGACCTTTAAGAATCTGTAATGTATTTTATTGTAATTATAATTTTTATACATTTATTGTAATTTTAATAAACCAATGTGTACAATTTTCAATGCATCTGGCGCGTTAAGCGCCCGCCTCTCGACATAGCAACGGATAGTGATAACTGATACCGATATCCTGGCGCTTACCGAAACGTGGATGCACAACCATGAAACTGTAAATTTGGAAGGTTATAAATGCATCACGTGACGAACAAAGAGCAGGCGGAGTGGCTATGTACGAGAAACATGGAGCAACTACCATGGCTATCCCACATCTGTTGATGAAGTTACCTAAGGAGGATGGAGCAGATAACAGAATAGTTGCAGCTGAAAAGAGAGGTGATATTTGTGCGGCAGAGTGTATGGTCAATGGTGAAAAACTTTAAATTCTAAACCTGTATATTTGTAATCACACACCTATTGATGATTGTAAGAGATTTATTTTGAGTCATTTGAGAAATTATACTAAGATGTTTTCAGTTATGGCCACAGACGATCCTAATACAATGCCGAAGATATTGACAGGAGATTTTAACATTGATTTAAAGAAGGAGGAAAATCAAAGCTTTCTCACATTTATGGAGAAAACGTTTGGCTTAATGTTGATGTCAAATCCTCAATGTAGTACTACTAGATCAAAATCTTGTATAGATATAGTGTTTGCACGATATGTTGATACTCTAAAATGTACAAATTTTATAACATATTTCACCTACCCCAGACCCATCTTAAGCATAACTAATTCAAGGTAGGCAGTAATGTCTTACTCAAACATTAATCAATTGTAAAGCGGGTATAAAGAAAATATTTAGAATAAAGCCACTATATAAACTCCTTACTGTATAGACGTATTTACGTCAAATTCTCCGGAACCGTGGTTCCACTGCCACTTTTTTATATTGGATACCTTTCATCCGGACACTCTGTATTTCATGTGTAACCACATTTGTGTTATGAAGTATCAAGACATTATTGAATGTAGTATAACCATTTTATTCCCACAGATTTTCCTCACAATAACTATACAATATATAGCTCTGCATGCTTGAAAATACAGTTTATTAAATTTACATTTACGTGTTTCTTTTGACGTAAATACGTCTATACGGAAGGGCCATTCGGCAAAAAAGCGTAACGAAGATGTGTATCGAATCAACAATGTGTAAATAATTTTTCCTAGATAACAACAATGCCGAATAAACAATGACGTTTCCTAGGTAACAACAATGCCGAATAAACAGATTATGTTTCCTAGTTAACAATGCCGAGTAGATGACGTTTCCTAGGTAACCATTGTTGTCGATTTGTTGATATTGGTTTACACATTTTCGTTACAGTCTTTTACCGAATTACCCTTCCGTATAGACGTATTTACGTCAAAAGTTTAATCACAAAATTACATATCTATCCATTTTCGGATTGTAATTAAAGAAATATAAGCATACTCTCATGATGTGACCTGTTACTGGAACCTGTTTTGTTTCAAACGACGAAAGTAATGCTTACAAAGGAAACATGTATTAGTTTATGTTATATTATTAGATGTTTCTGACAGAGCTCAAAAACCTTCCATTCCTAATGCACAGAGTTTGAGTCTTAACAAATGTGCAAGTAATTTTGTTTATAATAAGACAATTAAATACAATTTAGTTAATATTTGTATTATTGCTTAGTTTGTCTTAGTGTTGAATGTTGTTCTGGTCAGAATTTCTATTGCTTTCAGCTGCAATTATATTACTTATTGCGGAAAATAAATCGTGAAACAAATTACTGTTAAACATTAGGACTAAGAAAGATGGAATGTAAAGAAAAATAGGCAGGAATTTGATAAATTATGAACTAAGTAGGATTTGGGGTTCTCACGGCGGTGAGTACGAAGCTGGCGCCGTGTCGTCTGGTAGTTTACCGACATTTCAGACATCCTCCCCGCTCTAGTTGACAGTAAGTAATAAGCAGGTTACGATGGGCTGGTCATGTAGCCAGGATTGCAGAAACGAGACGTGAACTTAACTATTTTGGATATGCATTATTTCGAAAGCTATCACTTTCAACATCGACACAAAGATGAGTGGATTATATGAAAATCAATTATGACGACTTTGGGTTGAGTAGGCTCATGAGTTTTAGATGGTCCTCGAATAGTACTAGGGGTGGGAATTTTGATTAACGATGTCCAAATTTTGTATATTTGTAGTAGCGTATTCTTGTTATAATCTGGTTTTTGCTAACAATGCTGGCGATAATGTTGCTTAGAAGCAAGCTTCTTGCAGATTCATAACATCGTCACGTTGTTTTCCCAAAAGCGCACAAGAGTTCCAATATAGCTCACTCCGGGTGCGATTAACGCGCTCGTGGCTTGGAGTGGTCTTCCACCATACCTGAGACGACCTAGATGGAATCTCCCGTGCACTGCTGAGACCACAGTCGTGAGTTGCTGACGAAGACTGCACCCTACTCGATTACATGATGGCCACGTGCAGCCGACGACAAATCAGCTTGAAAAATTGTAGCAGCCACATAGGGCTTCCTTATCTGACAGCATTTAGGTGTGAACATCACTATCAGAGAAGATCTTCTAAAAGTACGACTACAGGGTTGGAGGCCTCCTGGGCTCAACGAGCTGCCGGTGTTCCCTAGGCTGGACCGATCCCCCGTAGATCGAACTTGAGTACGATTTGGGACTCATTTTACTGCTTGTCGCAACATGTAGCCATTATTCTCTGAGGGTAACAGTCTTCGTTGATGTCAATTATAGGTTCATCATAACAGGCAGAGATGACTGCGTTGTCTTCTTCGTGGATGAAATTTTTTTCTGCTGGTACTTGCGTTGGCTAGGGTAGTTCTTGTGCTCATGTGAAATGTATTGGTGATGTTGATCGACTCTTCCCTTTTCATCAACAGTCCAAAGGGGGAGGAGGTTTTCAGTTCTTTATGTTGTTGGTTCCATGCATCCACGCCACTGAAACAGGTTGTAACTCCATCTTAAAAAAACTTAAAAACACGGCAATATACATTTAAAAACAAAACCATTTACTTTCTCGAAACAAATTATAATACATTCACGTTACACGGGGTCATTGATTACCCTACTACAAACAAAGAAGCTCACAAACAAAACATATAAGAATAAAAAAAAACATGACTCCTCTCGCTCTAGGCACCACTCGAATTCGTCTCCCCAGCCTTGACTACCCCGAGGGACCACAAAAATCCCAAAATTACTGTGGTTGCCCCGTCCACCGACACAGCAAAATCAATACCTATCCGGACGGGCAATCACAACGTGAAACCAAATACAAGCCAAGGTCACCTCGAAGAGGGTGCCCAGGCGGAGAGACATTGCCGACCGGATCCGTAGTAGCAGCCTGAGTTTCGTCCGTGTACTGGAGAGAAGAGGTCAGCCCAAATCATCCCCCCCTCTCCTAAACCTCCCTAACCTCACCACACGCATGCGCACCCCTTTTGAAGTTTCGCCGTCACAACATCAGAGCCGAATACTCGGCTCAATGTACTATTAGTGTTGGAAATAAGTGACCTTATCGTAATCAATGTCGAATTATGTGGTGATTCACGAGTAGTCCTGTAATACAGTTTGAGATCACAGAGATAAAGGAGATTATTGTGCGTGGGTGATGAGGTGACCTCTTGGCTCCTAAGACTATTGCTTATGTCCGGGCAACCAATTGCAGTACGGACAGTTTGGAAATGTTAATTTTAAAGTAATATAACCGAAACGTTTACAAGCTACAAAACCTTGTACTAAATTATAGGCATTTGCATTTCAAGCTGAAAATTAATGACCTATAGCAGATTTTGGAACAGATATTTTTCAGCCGTGGTTGACATTGAATCGTACAGTCTTCAGTAGTTGAGCGACGTTTCGAAGTTGCGTGCTGAATCCTTATTATAGATTCGCCACTTGGCTGTTGCAATAATCCTCTGTGAGGTGCTCCAAATTTTACGTAGTGAATTTTATCAGTCTTTAAATTTAGATGTCTTCTTATCGTAAAACATAAATACTCGTAATTTTGTCTGTACCTTAAGCGAAATATTCTCGTAATTCAAAACGTCTGCTTACCATCATAAATATTTCGATTAATATGCAAGTGTACTTACTTATATCCGGTATATATATGAAGAATAATCCGAAAAACATGAACACTAGCGCAACCCCTGTCGCAGCGAGACATCCTAAGTAGAAATCTTTTGGTTTTTCTTCTTCTCGTGTCAAAATTGTCGGTGATATGCTGTTAGTGGTGGAATTAATTCCACTTATCGTACTCAGTGTCGAATACGGTGGTAATTCAGGAGTAGTCCTGTAACACAGATTGAGATTACAGAGATAAAGAATATTATAGTACGCGGGTGATTGGGGACCTATTGGCCCACGCGACTTCAGCTTATTGCCAGGCAACCAAATACACCTCGGACGCATTGAGAGAGTTAGTTTTAAAGTAATGTACCCGAAATGTTTTCAAGCTTCAAAACCTTGTATAGAAATGAACAGCATTTGCATTTGAAGCTTAAAATTAATGTCATATAGAAGTTTCTAGATTGGATATTTTTGAGCCGTGTTTGAGATTCAATGGAAAAGTCTTTAGAAGTTCACCGACGTTTCGGAGTTGCGTGCTTAATCCATATTATGGATTCGCCACTTGGCTGTTACATTAATCTTCTATGATGTGGTTCCGATATTATGTAGCGAATTTTATTACTCTTTAATTTAGACTTTTTCTTATCGTAAAATATAGAAAAATCGTATATTTCTCCGTTCCTTAGGAAAATATTCTGGGAATTCTAAAGGTCTGCTTACCATCATAAATGTTTTGAACCAGTATGCAAGAGTACTTACTTATATTTCTTATAAATTCTTCTTATCACTTGATATATGATTAATAGAATAATCAATGCAGCAAAAGCCAGCCATACGCTTCCGAATACAACAAGTACAACCCGAGATATGTTGACTTTGGTGCTGTTTGCATTAACTGTGAAGTTTTTTTCCATCTGAAAGGTTAAAAAAGAAATTGTTTGGCTCATAACGAAGAATAATTCTCTACTCTTAATATCTGAACCATGCCATTAGCTGCGAAGTGAGCTGTAATAATTTTGCAGATGAAAGATGCAAACAAAGTTTTAGTCAGGAGGCCAGTTGCCACTTACCTTATAAAATTATGTTCTCTTTCAAATTGTTGGTTGCTGACTGTTCTCTGTTCCGTTCTGTTCTGTTTTTTCACGTCTGTGTTGCAGGAGTTTTGTTGATGACGTCAGTAAACATTCTAACAATGTAAATAATGTATCAACACGCTGCAACAATTGAATGAATACGAAGTGTTTAAACAATTGAGATGCACAAATAATGAATTAAATATAATTACAGCATTGAAAAGTTATGGATCGTAAGCTAATTAAATTTTGTTTTACATCCGTTGACTTCCGATTACCCGGGTAGTTTATAAAGTTTATAATCCCGGTTAATCGTAACCTTTAATAGCCCGCATAAATAAAAGAGAAATATCTAATTTTATTTACAGGCATACACTACTTAATTTTTTGAAGATTTTCTAATAACGGAAGAGAATCTTCTTTTAAATTTAATTAAGTACATACCTTCAAATTTTAAAACTTTTAACATCTGGTTGTAATAACCTGTTATAATATGTTTCAGGTTTTATCCACAATTGATATATGTCAATGCGTTATGTAATTTGTCATTTCATTTTAAATCTTTCTACGAATTTTATACGTCACATTTTTAGTTTCAGCTATAACCATTTAACCCCCCCGGATAATCACAATGAAATTTTTGGAGATAGATAGAGACGCATAATTCGACACACTCATGCAACTAGAAGTGGACTGGACGACCGGGGTTCGATCCCCTTAGGACCATTTGATTTTAAATCTTTCTACGGATTTTACATGTCACATTTTTAGTTATAGCTAAAACCATTTAACCCCCCTGATAATAACTGTTTTATTTTTGGAAATAGATACAGACGCATAATTCGACACACTCATGCAGCTAGAAGTGGACTGGACGACCGGGGTTCGATCCCCGACGAGGGCAGAGGATCAGAGCGACCAGACCGGGTCTTGCTTATTTTGTGAATCGATTTCTGGTATTGTTATCGAGAATATGCGATTCCTTTTATTGCATCTTTTTTCCCTACCTTTTGGTGGTTGCTAGAAGATAATATTTTATATAATACTTAAATGGACGTGTGTCCATTGCTGATTCGTTTGCTTGTAGTCGTCTGTTCTTTAAACTCAAATCTGTTTCGTGTTTACAAATATACTGCGCCTTTACAGTGAATAATTGAAATATGAATAATGTCACATTCGTTTATTAGAACTGGTATTTAATGACAAGTAAGAATAATTTAGTATTTGTTGCACTGACTTCCATGTGTCACATGAGTGATTAAGTACTAATATTTATTTATTTGTTAGTTTAATAGGTCTGTTTTACAGTTAGTTACAGAACTGGGTTTATTAAATACGTGTGATATAAGAATAAATGAACAATTTTATTACGTAAGTGCTGGTTTTTTTCCTAAAAGACTCTCCGATCAAAGAACTGGCACTTTAACTTGGTAGCCCTAAATTATATTGTGTAAAATAAGGAATTATATCTTCCATAAGTAATCAAAACTAGAATTAAACTTTCTGTGAGTACACAATTGATAATTAAATTGCATGGAAATGAGGGCGTTATGAGGTATTGAGCAATATACTTATTGCCTCTATCGTCAGGGCGATAATGATGTTGAAGGCAGTAAGAATATCTTAAACGTCTGTCAGCACGATGCAGTACCCCACAAGACTCTAATCTTTATATTCGGCGCCGTAAGGACCTTAAATACAATTCCTGTCTCTAGGCTCACAAGTAAGTCATTATGCGCTCACTGTAATTAACTGTAGGGTGCTTGAAGAAATGTCATAAGAACCACATCATGCCACTGTGTATGGAACAGAAATACAAGTACAGGTAGCCCTCGTTTTATGCCGGGGATGTGTTCCTGGACGAACCGGCGTAATCGGAATCGGCGTAAATTGGAACGATTTTATAATGTAAATCAATGTGAAGTCAATGACATGCGTTCCCAGCCCCCAGACATTGACGATTAATATAATGGCATTACATTTAAAGCTCTGAAATAACGTAAATAAAATAAAGGGAATTTAAAAAAAATATATTTTATACGCTTACAATTGGCAATGGCGTGATGAGTGGCGTTAGTTCTCTGACGAAGTCCGTGGTCGAGGATCGTCATGTTTTTTAAAGAAGGCATGTAGTGTGGACTGCCTTGATTTATTCCGCAGAGATTAAATTAGTCCTTTGAAAGTTTAAAGCGCCAGGAATGAAGTTGCATAAGAGCAAACTCGCATATGCAAAAGTTTGCATTTCACAAACAGCTTTTATCGATTCATCGATCTCACTGGAGCAAATTCGCGTTAACGAAATTGCAGAGATAACTGTATTCACAATTTTTATTCAGAATCAGCTATGTAAGAATTACGATTTAGTATAAGAAGCGGTACGAGAAACATTGTAAAACGTTATAATTTTTTTTTTTTTTTTTTTCTTTCTAGTTTCAAAACCGGCGTTATTCTGGACCGGCGCAAGTCGAGGGCTACCTGTACGGAGCTTAATACAATATTTAAGTGTTTTATTTTAGAGTTGAAGCTATATTGGCTATTGTTGGACTGTTTTTCACATTTTGCCCTTGTCCCGTAAATTCAACGTAAGTATTCACAAAATTTTCCAAATCAAATTTATGTATGGCTCTCTGAATCTTTTTTATTTGTTTAAGACTCTATCTCTCATCGAATTAAAACGCTGCCCAGTGTACATATCACATTTGAATGATGATGATGACTGTCGGAGAGTCTCCGTTTTTTAGACAATGTAAAACATGTGTACTTGGTATAAACGTTTTTTGTTTGTGTCCACTACGTGGAACTTTTTTAAATAAATTATTTGAACCACATCGTCAACTAAGTGTTTACCACGCCCGATTTAAACGTGTCTGTGAAACCAGTGACTGCGGAAAATATTGGATTACTCTGAGGTATTTCTACGGTCAGCCTGTTTTGCTTTCAAGTTCAGTGATTATTGGATCGTTGTTTTCCATAATTTCGTGGCATAGCTGAGCAGAAGGTATGGATTTCTGGACTCGATTTACAATGCCTTTCATATAAAACACAGAGGTTTTACACTTGATAAACCACTATTATCGTTTGTCGGGACCTCAGTTCAATATATCCCTGAGTTTGGTTGTAACAAAAGGTGCTATTCCACGTTCGTTATCGAAAACTGTATTTTATCCCCCATATAGTAAACAGGGTGAATATGGCGTTTTCCTGAAGGGTTGGAATATGAGTAAACATTACTGTATATATCGATATAATAATATCGCAGCGGTTCTCAATGGAGCAGTGATCTGGAAGTGGAAGATAGACCACGTCTCTTGTCGTCTCACGTTTTCTTACCACGAATGTTATATTGATTTTTTTACACTTAGTGCAAATGTATTATAGCTATTAACTTATATGTGAGTAGGGACTGGGTCTTTACGAAGTACAACCTCATATATTACGGTAGATGGTCATAACTAAAAGTACTTGGAGTTTTTTATGCGGTGGCAGAATTTTTTTTTTGGGGGGGGGGTTAGAATTTATGCTTTTTAAGGCAGTGAATACTAAGACACTTTTCTGGGCTGTTACACCGTGTAGTATCAGCGGAATTTACTGCATCCTCCATCAGCGAATCTTCCTGATGATGGAGGCTGTAAGGACCTGTGAAACATCGGTAAATGTTTAGGAGACTACATAGCGCAAGAGTCCAGGAGACTGTAATTTTCTGTCGTTTTGTAGGTTTTTCTGCAAGATGAGTTTAACTGGGTTTTATATATATGAAATTACTGCAGGCTTCATAGAAAAATATTGCCAACACAGTGGAAAATTGCGAAGCTCGGTTACCAGTTCGTTGGCAAATAAAAACTAATTATATCAAACACGACTCTCTTGAAATTTGCATTACAATTGAAAGGCTAAATAACCCATTGTTCCGTATCTCGGTTGTAATGCGTACAGCCGATGTAATTTAAAGGAATACAAATCGAAATGCCAAAAATAAATGTGAAACGACGAAAAGTTAAAATTCCGTTTACTGTGTTCGTAATGCACGTAGTGGAATGTTGGCAATGTTTCGTACAGGTCCTTCAATTGAAATTTCCATTGAGATTTGGTCTCTTGCTTCAGTGAGGGATCGATGGAATAATAAAAATGTTAGTAGGAGATTTTGTTTAACGGGAAAATATACGAAAACATAATTAAATAATCAGAACACGTACAGGTTAAAAAAGAAAATCAGCTGGCAAGGAAATTCTACATTGTATACCAAAGTCCAATTATAAGCCTATTACAAGACTTAAAAGGTATTTATAATTCATGCTGTATTCTTAACGAGCTATCCCATTCCCTCGAGAATTTTTTTTTATAAAAATGACATCTGTTTAAAGTATGTACATGTTAGAATGTGAAGTTTTCACAGAGGTCAAACTATCGATTGTGGTTTTATGTGTTGTTGCTTCTTGTAGGTGGATACCAATGTTTTAGATTAACAATACAGGCCTAAGCTGTTTTGAATATCGATTTCCGGGCACCCCTATCCTTGTGGTCGTAGACTACGCGAGATCTTTCTACGCCAAGAAGATTAATCTTTGTCTAATGTCGATGAAGCATTGATTGGCGAGCGAGCTCGTATTAAATAATATTTAAGATTTCAGTCCGTACGTCAAAAAAGCTCAACACCTCATCTTTATAAATATGGATTCCTTTGTTAATACTGGTTAAAGAGATAATCTGAGTTTAAAGCGAGAATTATGCAAGAACCGTAAATACAAAATAAAGAGTTCGTGATTGTTAAATCAGGTGGGACATATAGTTACCACCGGGCTTTGAAGTTTTAATATAATAAGGTCTCTTGTGCACTATTGCCCGCTTCTGGGTTGAGCACCCGGAGATGGAACATGCTCAGCTTTCATGTTGAGGTAACAATTTGAATTAAATATAAACATTCCACTCGGTTGAAAATCGGTCACAGAAGAGTGTACTACGTGGTTAAAATTCTCCTGTTTTTCCTGTTTTGCTACTGTAATTGCAATAGATACAGTAATGTTGATTTAATTTCAAATTTATGAATCGAATAAAAACATTGATCTTTTACCGCAGGCCATGTACACGGTCATTTCATTGGTTAAACGTACTTCAAGATCCTTTCGGCAATTTAAATTCCGCACACGTGTATGAGGGTGAGTAATGGCGCTGACCCTGTAGTGACACTTGATAAACTGTTTAGTAGTTGGAATTCATTTTGGACGCTAAACTGTGTCTTGTTATAATTTTTGTACACGCCGTTTGTGGTAAATGTGCCTTCTCCGGATTGGTAACCGCGGAATCAATTTTGCCTATCAAAATACTGCCGGACCACGTCTTCTGCCATGTTAGTTCAGTTGATGTCGAGACTCCGTTGACAGATTTTGATTAAACCTTTTAAGTGTGTGTATTACTAGGCCTACGTATACATTTTATATACTTCAATTTAGTTGAAGGTTACT